AGTGCATGTTATTTGTAGAGATAAAACATTGTTACACTTTTTACCCTGAATATGATTATGTGGCACACTTGACTTCCATATGTAACGCATCGGCATCTGCCTCTTTTTTACGGCTTTTTTTTTTTTTTTACATTGTCGCTACATCTGTCACGTTTGCGGTGTTTTACCATAGTTTCTTCATCCATCACATCCCAGAGAAGATTAAACCAACATCAAACCCAACGTTTGGAGCTTGGAAACTCCACACACTCTCGTGCAGCACCAGCAGCGTCAATCTTCCCGGCTGGACGAGTGAATGTCTTCATCAGAGTCAGTATTCTGCTTCATAATCAGTCAGTCATTACCAGACAAAGTGATCAGTCAACAAAGACCAGACCTGCCGGCAATTATACGTTTGATCTAATATTTGCGCTCTTCATGCTGCGCGCATCTCCTCCTCTTCCCAACTTGGAGCCTCTCGGCGGGAGGCAATTTTCAAACTCTAAAAACTCCCAAACTTTGCTCAGCCTGAAGGTTACACATCTCCACTATCTCCTGATGTAAAGTAGTAACTTCATGAGGGATTATATTTGTAGAGGAGACTTGTTAAAGTCAGCAATCAGGCTTTGGCGCTTATAACTAGCAAGTCCCAACACTGACAACAACGTACTGAAACTAGAACCAACATGCATAAACAGACAGATCTGTCCCGCCTACTTACACTGTTGGTCTTTTTTAAATACGCAGTAATCGTTGATTGCCTTTTTCGCTTCATCCTGCATCCTAGCAGCAACCACTTTGGCGCCTCTGGAGTCGGTGTTTGTTTACGTCATGCTGCATTCAATGTAATTGGAAAAAGGAGCTTCAAGCGCTAAACCTCCGATTTTGTTTTCTTTCTGGCCTTAGTTGGGGGGGATGGATCGGGGTCGATCTGAATCTGGGGGGGGGGGCAGATCCCCCGCGTCCCCCACCCTATCTGCGCGCCTGGTCTGCTTTTAGATCATGAATGCACTGCAAGGAGATAGGTTTTGCTTTTGGTTCTACAAACGGGCACTAGGGGGTGCTATAAGCAAGCCAAAGCTACCTAGATCCCTTTTAAAGGATGATTGGGAAACCTACCTTTGCTCAAGGTTTGGGATTTCTTAGAGATAGGCAAGGTAACGACTAGCTAAAACAATAGTCTCCCAAAAGAAATACTGGTTTCTGTAAACAATTAATTAAAAAACCAAATGCCTGTTCAGTTTAGGTTGCAACATTTAGGTGGTTAATCCGGCAGCTTCTGCTGGATTAACCACCTAATACAAAATAAACTGTAACGTAAAGACTTAGATATTAGCATTAACATCATTAGACAACAACAATACATTTTTTGCAACTACCGTAAATCCTCTAATACAGGCCGGTATTCAATTAAAGGCCGGGTCTCCAATTTTGGCCGGTGTCGGAGTCAGTGGAGGTAAATAATGGCCGGTCTCTTATTGTGGCCGGATGGAATGTGGTAACAAGCAAGTACGAGCGTCCCAGCTGCAGGGTTATAGTCCCCAAATCAACCAGCAGGAGGCAGTAGGGGTTCACGCAGACCTTTATTAGGCTTTTTCTTCAAGCTTTGTAACACTTCAGACACAATCCTCTATCACGCTCCTACCACACAGAGTCACGGTGTCAGTTAACCATGCTAATTCAACCCGCTCCACAGAACACACATCACCTTCCCTGTGGCTTACATAACACTCACACAACACGCAAATCAGCACATAGGAACTAGCAGAACGATAGGAAACACATATAACACAATACCCAGAATGCACCTGGCTTACAACCCCAGCCAGGTCATTACACTATCAAGTTCAAAGAGAACGTGCTGATTATGCTGCAGAACACTCTGGAGAGCAGCAGTAGGGGGTGTATGAACTACAGTAATCCCTCGTTTATCGCGGTAGATGCGTTCCAGACCTGGCCGCGATAGGTGAAAATCCGCGAAGTAGGGACTCCCAGCATGCCCCTCGCGGGGATTCCCTCCACGTCGCACCTACGTCACAAACCGCGGCTATAAACGGAAGTCGCCTTTCCAGCTCAGTCATCGTTTCTTCAGATTCATGATCAGAGTTTCCAACCTACCAATCAATCCAACGAACTATCAGCTCATAGTAAGTTATCTTACTTACTTCTGGAAAGCCCGGCATTTCCGTGTCACTTCGTTGACGCTCGAACGCTCAGGGGTTTCCTAGAGCAGCCGGCGTTTCACCGACGCTCTCACTTCCGCGTCTGTGAAACCACGCTCCCTATTGAATTATCGTATGATCACATTCTCTGTGATCAGCAATGCGCTGTGCCAGACCGTAGGTACTGACACTCGATCGTTCATGTCGGTTCATTTCCTTTAATGTTTTCTGTCTTTTATTCGCGCCTGATGTGTATCGCTGCTGTGGAGCGGGGCGCATCAACTTGTCCTCCGACGCACAGATCACTGATGCGGCCGGCAAGCAGGGAGCGTTCAGCTGTTTTCGTGGTCGGTAGATCTGCGTCCTGAGCACGGTCACAGTAACAATCAGGTGTCGCCACCTCAAAAACTAATTTAACACGCGATCGTTCATGTCAGTTAATTTCCTTTAATGTTTTCTGTCTTTTATTTGCGTCTGATGCGTTTCGCTGCATGCTGTGGAGCGGGGCGCTGCGGGCATCACCTTGTCCTCCGACGCACCGATCACTGATACGGCTGTCAAACAGCGAGCGCTCCGCTGTTTTTGCGGTCGGTAGATCTTTTAGAACTGCAGTTCAAAGGTAACTCATAAGGTGAATATATATGAACCCAGGTAGCAGTTTTTCTTTAGGATTGAGAGGAGATGCAGGAAGATAATAAACAGACAGGACAGAAAAATAGTCAAATAAAAACAAGTTAGTTTTTGTACCTGCTGTTGCAACATACAGACACCATTGAAGGTAATCAGAAGTGAGGAACAGAAAATGAAATAATTATTTTAATGTTTAGAGCAGCAGGAACTCCGAGAGGCTGCAGGCACATCAGTGAGTTTGCGGCTGCTGCGCAGGGGGAGGGGGGAGAGGGCTGAAGCAAGAACTACCGTTGTTAAAAGAGATGTGTTTAACTTTGAAAATGTGGGCACAATTTTAATTGTCAAAAACTCCAGCAAACCATTAGTTCATTTTGCTCAAATAGAAATAGAGGCCTGCCTCTAATACTGACCATCCTTCCAATAAAGGCCTGGAGCTTGATGAGCTTGAGTCAAATACAGGCCCGGGCCTGTATTAGAGGATTTACGGTACTTCCACTCTACTTTGACTCAACTTTAGCTAATCTGTTAGCTAAAGTCTGGTCACAGTAAACGTAAACAGCTATCTAGGAATGGTTATGGCTCATGTTTTTCTTTTCAATAGAAACCTACTTTGAAAGATGGGAGCTATTCTTTTAATGGCATTTTTAATGAATTTCTAATTTTTCTCTAAACCAATTATCTCGTATAACAAGGAAGTAAACCTAATTTAAACTAGGAATTATTTGGGGTTAAGTTAGATCTGGATAAAACATCGTTAAATTTCCATCTATTTTTCCATCACCACTCACCAACACATCCTATAAAAGCTGGCTTCACCCCCCACGCACATGTCGAGCATAGTAATTAAGGCTGATTCATGGAGTGACTGTGGTGGCGATTAGCAAATCACAGCACCATTATGTTAAAATGAATAAAGTATAGCTGATGAGACGTCACATTTTGTGTTAATTTATGTTAAAGGGTCAATATTCTGAGGTTTGTTATTATATTAAACTTAAATAAGACAACTGGTTGAGATGACACATATAGAATCATCATTGAAATGAGAAGATTTCTTTATCCCATTGTGTTCATGCAAAAAAATAGCAAATTACAGAAATCACAGCTCACTGCACATGAGGGAAAATAATTACCTTTTTCCCCTTTTGCACCGCTCAGAGGTGTAATAATAGAGCGAGGCTGCATTACCTCATTAATGTCTGAGTCAATACAAAAGCAGACAGGAAAGACAGCTTTTATCCCTCCTAAATGTGCGCCCTTCTCAAATGACTGGCACCGCTTTTTTAGGGGAGAGGCACGCTGTGACATTTTGCTGCTTAAAAAAATATAGCAGGGATTGTCACGTCGCTCCGTGATTTTTAGTGGCAAAGAAAAGAGGAATCATACTTTTAGCTGAATGAAACTGCAGCCGGGACTATTTTTAAACTTGGTGCTGTAAGCAAAATATCTCCCTTCTGTGTCAACTTGAGGTCTGCTAATGTAATGGCAGGGGTTGAGGTTTGCAAAGCAGGAGAGAAACTTTAGACAAAAAGGTATATTTTTTTTACTCTTGTAGGAGAAACCTATAAAAATGCAAGGTCATTTTTACAGCTCAGTTTAATTTATTGTCTAATATACATGTGCATAATAATTTAGATTAGTACGGAAGAGGATTAGGGCCACTGAAAAGAAAATGAAAAGAAAGAGTATTCTGACTTTTTTCTCAGAATTCTGAACAGAATCTCAAATTTTTTAGATAAAAATCACAATTCTGAGATTAACGTCAGACTTCAGATATTAAAGTCAGAATTTTGAGAAAGATGGCAGAAATCTGAGATAAAAGTCTGAATTCTGAGATAAAAGTCAGACTCCTGAGATTAAAGTCAGATTTCTTAAAGTCAGAATTATGAGAAAAAAGTCAGACTCCTGAGATTAAAGTCAGATTTCTTAAAGTCAGAATTATGAGAAAAAAGTCAGACTCCTGAGATTAAAGTCAGATTTCTTAAAGTCAGAATTATGAGAAAAAAGTCAGAATTCTCTTTTCTTTTCTTTTTCGTCTTTTGCGTGGCCCTAATCCTCTTCTGTAGATTTTGAATCCTAAAAAGAATAATTAAAAGAATAATAATGTTAATTTTTTTTATATTATCATCCAAAACATTTTCCATTTTAGATGTCTTTTTTCTATTGTCTACCTTTAAGGTTTTTCTGTATTCAGTCTTTGTCTTTTCCCTCTCTCTCTTCCTCTTTCAGGATCCAAACCTGTTCTCTCTGGATTTCAACTACTCCAAGCCGATGATTTTTATCGTCTCATCTTCAGAAAAGTCATACGGTCACCAGCAGAGCTCCAGCGAGGATGTAAACCTTTATGTGAGTATAGTGTCTGTGTTTCTTCATCTGAGAGTTAATGCACCATCATGCCAAAGCTTAAACACTACATAAAATCATTAGTAGCTTATTTTATTCTGTAATTTCACATAATTTAGCTAAAAATTTCAAACTATTATGATCACAAGATCTTATTAAGCCATTTATTTGGTCATTCCCATAATAATATGGGCATGGGCACTCCAGTAGACTCAGTTAAATGTTGGTAATGTGTAATTTATAGACGTTTCCTCTCCAGAGTTACTGTCTAGCAGCTGTGTTGCAGAGTCAAACTGATGCAGCTGTGCAGCTGCACACGCCTGTGTAAAGAGACAAAGAGCAGTGTTGATTTTCTCTGCATATTCCCCAGTGGCTGCTCTGTAAGAGGCAGGTTTTGTTTTAATGTTTATTTTTTTATTTTTTTACCGTCCACACTATAAAAATAGTAAGAGCCACTTCAGGGTGGCCAGTAACAAGAGTAGCTGATGGTGCTGGCTGTAAAATTAATGTTCCAATGAAACAGGACATTCTGACATGTATACAGTGTTCGCAGATTATTTATATGTACTGGGTCCTGGAAGGGAGTTTTGACTTTTAATCATCAGATTTTAAAACTACAGAGTGAAAAGTGCTTAAGTGGTGGATTCTAGAAAAAGGAAGCAGTTAATGGTAATAATTATGGAGAGGTTTTCTGAATGGAATTGCTTCTTTAATGTAGTTTTGCCAAATAACTCTTTAGAAATATGGAGTTTTCTCTAGAAGGATGCATTTCTCTTTAAAATGACTAAAACAAGCATTTTTTGCAGTTTTGGGGTCACTGCAAGTTTATTTTCATATGCTAAATGAAATAAATAGACTATTAATTAGATAATGAAAGTGAGCATATACCTTTTAGGTTAAGTAGTTCTGTGGTCGATAAAAACATGCTCATGATGTTTTTACACCAAACCCCTCTGACATAAGTTTTATTCTAGATATTTTCAGTACCTTCCAGAATGAGCCATTTCAGGGCTTTGCCACTTTAAGAAAACAAGCTGTTGCTGGCCACACCCACTCGTCCCTTGATAAGCTTCTATCTGACAAGAAGTTTAGACATCCAGGAGGAGCTCTGAGTTGAGCCGCTGCTCCTCCAGCCTGGAGAAGGCAGAGCTGATTTTATCCTGTTTCTTTATTGTGACATCACAGTCGGGCACTTTCTGAAACATATTGTTTTAGGTTAATTCCTGTAACTTAACACTGAAAGAAAATGGATAGGAGATTTGTATTCATTCCCAGAGTCTTTATAGAGGTATTAGAGATCCACATGGCAGCATAAAAAGATGCAAAACTGCTTAGTATGTCCCCTTTATGCCACGTTTTGAATGAATCTACATTCATCAAACAAATTCTTCTAACGACTCATTCAAAGAAGCGACACTCAAGTTTTTCTGCAGCTACTCATTCTTTAGAACCTTTGGGTCAGTATGTAAAGTTTCTGATTAAAATGTAACAATTTTTCTAACTGAATAATTATTCTGGAAGGTATTGAAACTGTCAAGAGCAGGGCTGCTAAGATGTGAGACTGATTTTGTGCAAATAACATGTTTTGTATTGACCATCAACCTATTGTAACTTGATTTAAAACAAAGGTATAATATGTCCCCTTTAAAATGCTACAGTTAAAGTAGCTGTTCAGAACTTTTCCACAATTTATAGTTGATAGAATCTACTGATTAAACACAAATGATTGCAAACTAAAGATGAAAGATATTAATGAAACATGAAGACTATGTTTGAAGATGACATTTAGACACTCTAAATTTCCAATGAATCCAATCAAACCAATTTAAAAACAATTATATTAGTCAAACTGAAGTAAAGGAAACACTTGGTTTAATATGATCATTTCAAATCTTTGTAAATTAGTTCAGATTTGACAGCTGCATCCCAAACGCTCTCCTGTTATTTTGTCTTCATCTACTCTTCGTTCTTGTGTGTAAATGATGTGCCTGAAACTGTTAACCACTTTTGTTAATAATTCACATATATAGTTAACAAGCTGAAACATTAAAAAATGAGCCCAGAATGCAAAATTGCGGCCAACCAATCGTCGTGATGACATCTTTGCAGTCATGCAGTCAATTACTGATATGCTGACAGCGGCGTGGAATCACATCCTGGATCATATCCTGTCGGGAGCCTGGACGACATCGCCTGCAACTGCAGGATGTTTTTGTGGGATGAGCTGTTATCACTGGGGGATAATAGTGCTTTGCTGCAGATTGTGGTGGAAGAGAATCAACATCTGTTCAGCTTCAAAGAAAGTACGTCACTAGCTTGACAGCTTGGCTCAGTGTCACCAGCTCCTCTTGGCCTCCCAAGGCGGACCTGAATACAGACGGTCATCTAAAAAAAATGTTTTTTATTCATGAAGTCTTGCAGGTGTTCAGACTTTTCTGGTTGTCACAGAAAGTTCTTGAAAATTCACATTGTAAAAAAATTTTTTTTTTAGCCAGATTACTTTTGGGTCACAGTAACAGTATTCTCCATGACATTTGTACGCTATCGCTGCAGGACCTGCCGAGGATAACAGTCAACTATGTACACGAGATGATCTAGGCCACATCTAAGATGCCACAATCAAATTAAAACAATGGGTTTAAATTGTATGTGTGCCTACATTCATAACTGTAAAGGTAAGTTAATGAGCTTCTGCCTTGGGCTGTGTAAGCTAGCTTTTTACTAGCACACTAGGAAGTGATGCTTAGCAGATAGTTAGCATTTGAGAAACAAAAGATTCATGATATTAACCTGTGATTACACTGTTAGCATTGCTTCTACACTGTGCTAACTTTGGCTAGTAAAGAGCTAGCATGTATCGTTATTTAGCACGCCAAAGCAGATGTTCGTAACTCACCTTCCTAATAAGGTTGGGCGATTTGTATAATTTTTCCTACTGCCAATCATCAGTTCAGTAACTGGCGATGGGCGACTTATTTGTGCATGTGACTCTTTGAGCAAGGTCATGATGCAGGGACTGATTTGCAAATACAGTAAAAGAACGAACATTGATTTTTTGTGGTATTTTGTTGAAGCAAAATACTTTTTTTAAACAAAGGCTACTGGGTTTCTTTCTTTTATGAGTTGGAGAAATAAAATGAGTCACTGCAGCATTTAGACGCACTCTGAGGAGGGAGACTTTGCTCGCAGCCAGAGGTCAAATGATCCATTTATCCCCGTCACTTTTGTTTTAAAAATAATAAATAATCATTCAATTTCCAGTCATTTTTATTTAAAATTTAGTCCAAACAAGCTGATCAGAGTGCTTCAAATAAACAATGCAATTAAACGATTTTACTTAAATTAGGAACATTTCACCTGCTGCAACCCGAACGCACATACCTTCTGCTCCACGTAAACCTGAGCTGGTCACCTGCAGCTTGTGCGTAACCAAATGTCTTTAGGGCGCTTGCTGAGGAGGTTATGAGGTTTTGGGCTTTTGCCTCAGCCAGACTTGTGGCTGTTTAAATGTTGTCCTGGATGGATCCGCACTCTGCTGAAACACTCGAAGCGGGTGCTAAAAAACGAGCACTAAGGCAAAGTTTTAAAATCAGGAAACTTGTCTCCAAATGAAACCAGAACTCTATCAGACTCTCTGAAAGATAGAAGGGCTCCCGCTCGACACTGTGCTCTTGTGCACGACGTCGAGTGAGTCACAGACGCTGTCCGAGCTCCTCCTCAGCGCGCCATTATCAGCAACATGAAAGTGAGAGATAATGCTCAGATGGGCTGATGGAGATCTTTTTTTTTTTTACCTCCGCAATGTTCTCTTTGCGTAACGTGTAAAATATCTGTCATTAACAAACATACGCACGGCCAAACAAACAACTAAATAAACAAATCTCCTCTTATAAAATCGTACTGTCTCAGCCCATTGCCGATGGTCAAATAATTCGTCTCATCGCCCAGCCTTCCGAATGAATGTAGGTGGACTCAAACTACTAAAAATCTTTGTCCTTATTTGAATGTGTGTCTTCTTTTTAGCTTGGATTATCCTGTTGACCATTATCGTTGACAGGTCCGAAAACCATTGCTTAAAAAAACGCAACAGAACACAAACGGTACTGCAATATGGAGGCTATTCAGCTGGCTAAAAAGTCAGGAAGCGTCAAAACAGGAGTTTGTGGCATAAACCGTATTCCACCTATTCAGATTTTAGCAGTTCCGATTTTAGTGCTGTAAACACAATCAAACTAAAAAATACAAACAATGTACATATTTCTCTCACATTTATGTCTCAAAACCTCCCCCTTTTGCTTCTTTCCTGGTGGGTTTCCAGCTCCTGTGATTGTAGTTCCCCTCCACATTATTTCTGATCTTGTGTCAATCAAATATTTATGCAGAAAAACGGATGACTCGCTCCGGCGTACTTGGCTTACACCATTTGTTCTGCTTTGTGACACAAAATGTTCATGGCTTTGTGTAATCCAGACAACACGCTCACTTCATGATTACTAACAAGGGCTTTTAAAAACATCACAAGTACAGATGATGTAGAAATTACTTTTGCAGTGAATAAAACATCAGGAGGCTGAGCTGTTCTACTCCCGGTCCATTTTTCCCCAATTTTCTTTTATACTTGCAAGAGATTTTTAATAACGTCTCTTTCCGACCTCAATACTTTTGGAAAGTATTGTTGCATTCAGCAAAATATGGCTTTTCTAGAGCGTTAGTAAGCATAAGTGTTTACTAAGTGAGCTGATGAAGTACTTCAGTGGAACTTTTCATACTTCTTTCATCTTGTTACAGATCAAATGAAAAAAATAAATAAATCAGCCTTGATGAAGTTTATTCAAGGCAGAGGCCATCCTGAAATTACAGGATATAGTTTCTTTATTCAAAGGCTTTTTGTTAGAGTTTGTAGAAGCAAATCGGTGACAGTCTCCACTTTCTGTTTTTAACACATTCCACTGCCATCTTATTCGTGGGCACAGACTCCATTATTACCCATTGGCTCAGACGAGGAAACACTGATGTCTAGTCGATGGGATGGATGTATATATTTATACCTTGTATGGAGCCAGATTCCAGCCACTGCAGTGACGCACAAAGCTAAAAAAGGTCCCATTTCCTGGCCCCACTCAGGAAGCAAAGGAAAGACCTTGGCTCCGACGGGGTTGTGCAACCGGGCTCGTGGACACTTAACCATAACAAACATTTCTTTTTAACAGAGGCCTGCTTGGAGAATAAAGAGACAGCTGGGTGGAGTGTACAAAAAGTAGTAGAGAATAATGTGTTAAGACGAAAACACAAACTTTGTGTTTAATATAAACACAAAGTTGAATAGTAGCAAAATGTTAAAACTGCGTTTTCTTTGTTCTGTACTTTTCAGATAAGAAATGATTCTTTAATTAGCATGTTTGGTTATTCTGGCAACATCCACACGGAAGACTTCCCCTCCGACAGCGAGGAACTGGTGAAATGGGCTGAGCAGAAGTTTGGGGGTGTGACTTCATTCACTACCATAAGAAATCTGAAAACGCTGAAGCTGACTGGAACACAAGGTGAGGCGCATTTGGCTTGCTATTTTTGTTGGCTGCATTTGTAAAGTGGCGTTGATTATAATATTCTCAAGAAAGCATTACTATCAAATAAAGACAGCCATAGAAGTAGTCATGCAGTCGAATGACACAGCAGTACCACAGCGGCTTGAAAGTGTTTTGTATTTATCACCTTGACCACAGCAGTTTTTATCTTGAACATCTGCATCTCCGTTTGGTCTGAAGCTGCATGTTGTTTTTGCTGAAGAGGACAAAGTAATTACAGTCTTTGAGATTCTTCAGAGATGGATGCAGTGCTGTTTCCAGAGGTCTTTCAAAAACATTCATCATCACACAACTTTTTCTTATCTCAACTATTGTTTAAGTCCTTTTTGATGCGCTCATGAAAAAAGAGACAACAGAAAAACAAACCAAGCAGTTGGAATTTCAAACCAAGGAACAAAAAAGAAAAATGTTCTCTTTTTAAATGCCACTATTCTTCCTACTGATTCTGCACTATTAATCATGTAACCTAAACAACAATAATTTAAAATATAAAAAGATTAAATACCAAGTAAAAATTAAGCCTAATTTATGCTTCTTTTCCCGCGTCGGTACGGAGAAACGCAACACCATTATGCGTTGGCGAGAAGGCTTTCCGACAGGCTCGCTGAGGCTGATGATGACATGCCCACATTTTTAACTATCTGTCAAAAGTGACAGATTGAAAAATGCCCCGTGAAAAAAGTCCAAAAATATGAATCTTTATTCACCCGTGACTGAAGGAGCACAAAGATATGCAGCAAGCACTTTATTGGAGGATGGAAATGACGAGAAACGTGCGTTTTGAGGTGGCGATCTCATGAAGAGGTGGAAGAGAATTATGGACATTTCCATTCCTGTTAAAAAAAAACTCTGAAATACATTAAAACAATGTAAACACAATAGTAAATACACTATCATGGGCTGGATACGTGACTATAATGGTGGCACAATACCACAGAAAAGTGCTATGCCCTGTGTTGTTCTGGCAGAGAACTGCTTTGCAACACTCCCCAGGTGATGAAGTCTGAAGAGGAGATATCTCCATCAAAGCGTGTGCGTGACTCCACACTCAAGCTGACGTAGAAGTGTAAGTGCTTCAGAGATGCATAAAAAATGGCTAGCAACCGGAGTCGTCCCGAAAAATAGAAATCTTTCCTGATCCGTTTACTCATTCTTCCTAAACACTAAATCGTGCTACCAGCAGCAGATCCTCTATGTGCAGTATTTTAGTTCCAGAATCAGACCTTTCATATCGATCAGAAATGTGAAAAAAGGATTTTAGGTCATTTTCGTTTGAGATAAATTAAAAAAACTGTTGAAATCTATATAATCTGGCCTGATATGTATGAAAATAAACCAAACCTCAAATCAGAGAAAATTGTTTTCACTCGTCTTCTGTTTGTAAACAGACAATAATTAGGCCCGAGCAGCAAAAGCGCTGCGAAGGCCTCATGCTTTTCCTCTGTTTATTATTTATTATTCCGGTGATCCTTAAAATGGCTTTTTGGGGACTTTATCATACCCCAAAACTCACAATAATTTGCAAACTTGTCAGGCCGGGTGAAAAATTTGATATTTAAAGGTCACAAAAAATCTCAATGAAAATGGCTCAACAGCACCCCCTACAATGTGAAAAATACCCCCCTCCTTAAACCTTAGTTTATTGTACAGTTATGAAATTTTGTACACTTGTAATACTCAACAGTCCGAACAGAAAAGCCTCCTGCAACCATGGTCAGCATCAAACAGGAAGGATTTTAGATTGCTGATAAACTGCATTCTTTGTCCCCTTTAATATTAGTTGAAGATGAATCAAAATTGGTTTAGACAGGCACTTTACAAGTTGCTATAAATACCTCTTCTCCCTACCCCCTCAAGATTTTGTTGTTTTTTTACACAACCAAAACAACCTTGTAGCTCCTCGGCTGAGAAGCAAAACACCTTAAAAAAACAAAAAAGTCCAGTTGCGTTCATTTGAACCCTTTTGGATTGAAACAATTGTGTTAATGCGACAGATACACTAACAGTAGAATTCAGCCAGTGAATGCTCAGTTTAGTGTTTTTTATATGTTTCTGAAGACATTTGTCTTTTCCCAGCAAGTTTTAGACACATAGAAGAAAACTTTCAAATCTGGAGGAGTGATGAGGGCAGCAGAGTTTTTCTGATTGATAAAACCAGTAAGAGCACTTGATAAAGGGACTGTTGAGGCTTCAGCTCATCTACCAATGACATTATGAGGTCTTGTTCCCAGCAGCAAACTCCCACAGCTGCAGGTTACCGTTTTATCAGAGGTAGAACACCATTAGATTCCACCAGTTGAGCAATTTTAGTTTTAGACTTTTAGAGGAGAAAAAATTCTACATTTCTCTTTTTTTTTTTACTTATTTCGAGCACCATGCAGCCTCATAGTACTTTGAGAAAGGAAACTGATATTTCTTAGTACAAAAATGGTTGGCTTCATCAGAACGTGATCTCTGGCTCTCACTGGAGCAGTCAGCAGCTGAGTGTATAGCAGGTGGGATGAGAGTCGGCTCCTCCAAATCCGAGACCATGGTCTTGAGTCGGAAAAGGGTAGAATGCCTTCTCTGGGTCAGGGATGAGGCCCTGCCCCAAGTGGAGGAGTTTAAGTATAGGGTCTTGTTCATGAGTGATGGAAAAATGGAGCGTGAGATTGATAGATGAATCTGCAGTGATGTGGGAGTTGTACCGGTCTGTCGTGGTGAAGAGAGAGCTGAGCCGGAAGGCTCAGGGAGGGGCTCTGCGTAGACCCGCTTCTCTTCCACATTGAGAAGAACCAGTTGAGGTGGCTCTGGTATCTAGTTAGAATGTCTCCTGGACGCCTCCCTGGTGAGGTTTTCCAGGTATGTTCAACCTGGAGGAGACCTAAAGGTAGACCCAGGACAGGCTGTATGTATCTCGGCTGGCTAGAGAAAGCCTTGGGATTCCTCGGAGGAGCTGAACTAAGCTCGGGAGAGGTGAAGTCTGGCCCTCCCTGCTTAGGCTGCTACCCCGGTGACTCAGTCCTGGGTAAGCGGCCCAAAATGGATGTATGGAAAGTACAAAGTCACCTATTATTGCAAAAACATATGACAAAGTCACTTATATGTGTGTGGAAACTTCAAATGTAGTGGTTTTGATTGAGTTTGTGCTAAACTGTCTTATTTAACCAGATGTCCGAGTGCTTGATGGAACATTTGGAAAGAGAACTCATGGACAAATGGCCACAGATGGAGGCTCAAACCATTACAATTCCAAGAGATTATTTCTGAATGAGAGAAAAAAAGGGTGAAAATTAAGGAAATGGTGAGATTTTAGTGCCATCAGGGGACAGCAGCAAGCTGCTCCTTGCAAACACAATTATTTCAGAATAAAGCTTTCCTAAAGCAATCTGAGCCAATTTGTGGAAAGAAATTGTGCTTTTCAGTCCTTTTTGACAGATTTTTCCTCTTTCTTTTGTTCCTACATAATTTCTAATAAAATAAAATTTTCGTCTTCTGAAAACAACCTAATAACTAGATTTGCCCCGATCAGATAATTTGCTGCTGATCACTGACACCGATCACATGAATTGGACATAGATTTTTGATGTAACCATGACTGCAACAGACTAAATGATCCAGGAAGAAGGGAACAATAATTTAACTTTAAATGGTCTGTATTAATTTAAACAAAAATATGTTGTAACTTTTTAAATTGATAAAAAAAAGACTTGCAGCACAATCAGGGCATTTGTTTGTGACCGCAACTTCTAAGACCCCTACTCAACACAAGGTTTAGAACTGAAGGAGCCTCTTGGATGAGAGGCGAGATGATTCAAGATTACCAGAAAAGTCCAGTTTTTAATTAAAACTCTCAAGATGATCTTGTCCAGGATGAGAGAGAATCTACACCAACGTGCAGCATAAGCAGAAACGATTCAGTCAAAAGGAAAAAAAACTGAAACCCTTAAATGTAACAGTGAACTTAGTTCAAACACTTTTTTCAATTATGAACTAAGAAACAAACAAGTTCGTTTTAAAAAGTATGAACTGAACTTTGAACTAGTTTGTAGTAGTTAGTAGTTTTTTAAACGAACTTTCCCAACACTGGATTTAAGTATCTACTGCCCCCATTGCCAGGAAAAATACACACTGTCACTTTAAGGAAAACCGCCCAGCTATGAACTGTTCTGTGGGTAAATAGAGAAGTTGTAAGACGTGGGTTACTGCCGACAGTAGCCTGTAAAAAAGACTCCTATACGAGAGTGAGTGAGTGAGTTGTTTCGTTATCTTTATTAATTTATTTATCGATTACTTGTAGCGGCTCCTACTGGGCGGAGCCCGGTGCCGTCCACCGCAGAAGGCTGCCCATCTAGCATGATGGTATAATTATTTTTCAGATTAGTAGCTCAGTTATTTGACAGTCGCGCTCATACAGACGAGTGTTAGTGAGTGCAGCTGTGTCTGACTGTTGCTCCGAGGGTCTTTTTATTTCTGCAGGGAGAAATGAAAACTCACCTCACTTCGCCCAGAGTTTGTTCTTTCAAAGTCATTTTAAATCAGCCATGCATTTTAACGAGCTTCCCTCTTGGGTTAACACAGACGGCGTAAAAGTTTGTTTCACACTGTTACAGCTGCATGCATGCAGGCGAGGGGGACATGATGCCACACACAGGCTGTCTACCGGCTACAAAGTATGAGCGACAGGTGATCGGCTGGTATGATCGGCTCTGAAAGGTGTTGATCGGAATTCACCGATCACGTGTTTTTCACGGAAATCGGTTTTGATCTGTAGCCGATCAATCGGAACATCCCTGCTATAACCACTAATGGAAGGTGAAATGTTTGTTGTTTTACAGGAAACAAAAACGGCCCATCTACTTGTTTACTAGAAAACGAAGATGGGGTAAAGAAGCACTTCATGCAGATTGAAACAAACCCTTCATGGCTCAAGTCTTGCTCTCTGCAGGAACAAAACACCGGTGAAGATGAGCTTCACATGATAAACATCCCAGAGAATTCCAACATTCGGTAAAAATTGATATTATTTAAAGCGAAACAGCAGTTAATGAAATAAAAACTTTGTTTTTGTTTTGCTTGGTGGCAAAGTTGATCAAATTTTCTGATGTGCATATTCCAGCAATGTGTCTCTGCTCATAAAACCTATGAAGACCCGCGTGTTCCTGAGGGGCCCACAGGGAACCACGTGGACCATCCTTAACTTACAAGAAGTCATGTTTGGTGTGAGTTTACACCGAAACTCTAGTAATCCAACAGACACAGACACTCAAATGCATGATAAACCGACCTGTTATTCTTTTCTCTGCAGTCTAACAATGTCATCCTGCTGCCCACATCCAATCACAAAATCAGCCCAACGCACCAAAACTCACCAAACAGTGACCATGCAGGGAATGTGCAGAGGACAGCTCTGGATTATTTCAGTGCCACTCACTTCTGCAGCTACAGTGAAATCACCCTAAACAGCACAGCTGTTTCTCTGATTATTGAAAAAGCACACAGCTCTGGAGGTACATGTTTAAATAAATAAGCATCTATAGTAACCAATGTGTGGTGTTTAAGGTGTGTTGCAAAAGGGAAACTATTCATTAACAATATTGTTCCTTTCAGGGGTTTCACCTACTGTTACAGTAACCAAACCAAACAGTGCCGTGACCACTAATTCACCTCATCAGATGCCTTTCAATATGCAGTTCTTCTCCTCCCCAAAATACTGGTCACCCTTGAACGCAGAAACCAAAGTCCAGTGTGACAAGAGAATCTACGCAGAGGTGGGAATAAATAAATGTTTGCTCTAAATGATGCTTTTCCAGTTTTCTCCTCTGCATACGCACACATCAGTGGTATAAACATGTTAGGGATATTTGTGATAAATGTGTAGACATATGCATAGAAGATGCCACCTACCACGCAGTTAAAAGACAACCTGCATCCGTTGGACCAAACATGACCTGACTCGCTCCTGGTTGTCTTTCATGCAACGCTGCAACATATTGCACTGTTGTGAGGAACCCACTGAGTTTCTAACCCCCTGAGCAGTTCAGTAGTGTTGCTAACCCACTGAGTAATCTGACACTTAATGTCGGTCCAATTATGTGGGGGAGGAGGCAGCGAGCTAGATACCACACACAAAACATTCATGCCAAGTGTAACTTTTAACTTTCACAACTTACTACAACACACATTTTGGACCTTCAGTTTGATCATATTTGTGTGGAAATTGAGTTCAGCAATGAGCCGATCCCTAACTTCCCTTTTTAAAAGTAAATGATCCTTAAAATGCAAATTGAATAAATAGACAAATGAGAGTTGATTTCCAAGCTGAACTAATAATCCTCATTAAGAATGAAAACCTTAGTGGTTCACAAGTGTAAATTGTATCTACAGTTTAAACCTAAAAATCTAAATGTATCATAGTTGATGTATTTTATATATTCACACGTTCTTTGTATTTCAATACATTAGCACTGGCCACTACTATATATTAATGCTTGTGAGTAGGACTGCAATAACGAGTGGATAAAAATTGTTGTGTTGTGCAACTTTTTTTTTGTGTGTACAACCTTTATGTAACAGTCAATGCATGCAGTTCATCTGTATGCGGCAGCAGAGCAAACCGAGGCCGATCAGAACGAAAGAGACATACATGTCGCACGTGATGATAAAAGCTCAGTGTGCAATAAACAATTTTTAGGCGTAGGGCTCGTGCAACATCATTTCAAGTCTTTTTTCCCCCTAGAACTTTATTGAACAAAGGTAAGTTGCCTGTTATTGTGTAAGGAAGTTGCCTTTTACTGACGCACAATGCGCTAATATAGGTGCTGTGGAGGAAAACAGAGAAACCAGCAAGAAAACAAAGGCAGAAACGGTCCAAAGTTTGGGATCAAAAGTGCAGCTTCGGGCAGATTAGCTAATGCTAACCAGTAGCAGGCTCAAGATCAAGTGGGGTTCTGAAAAAGCACAATGGTTGTGAAACTAAGAATATCTAAACTCTACAAGTGGAAGAAAAGTCCCCATCATGGTGTTTAATCTTAAGCCGGGCGTACACTGTGCGACTTTTTCACTTTTTTAAGCCAATTTTCCACTCGTGCGAGAATCCACAAGATCGCGACGAGTTTCACGCTGAGCGTCGTGTAGGGTACAGGGGGCTATGAGAGGCGATTAACACCACGTGACCAGCTACCGATCAGCAATCGTGAGCTCGCACGGACTTCTGGTGTGTTTAATATTTTGCTCGTCCCTCGTGAGGGTATCGCACTGTTGAAGCGGCGCTGCGAGCAGCTGCGACCCAAAATGTATCAGAACCGCTCACGGCGCATGCGCAATCCTGCATCAACACCGCTCGCCCGCTATTTCCCTAATAACACACGTTCGTTTTTATTTCTACACGTTTTTTACTCACAAAGATTGTCAAGAAAGCGTGCTTGTCGTGTTCATGTCAAATTAAACTGATCACAAAACACAGATTTACTTTCTTTATTTCGTTTTCCTCATCCAACCCCACAAATCCCTGTGTGTCCTCCTGCAGCTCTCCCGAAGGACAACAGGCAAGACAAGACAAAAAAAGTCTGACGTGTTGAGTAAAAACTGCTATTTTTAACATATTTTTTAGGGCCGACGTGTTGCTACCAGACGTACAGTGTGAGCAGTCAGGTCGCATCCGAGAACTGGGTCGTGCAGTGTGAGCGCCTGGCTCGTGAGATCTGCTCTGCGAGGAAGTCGTACAGTGTGAGCTGAAGCTGAGTGCTACGAGTGAAAAAGTCGCACTGTGTACGCCCGGCTAGAGCCACTGTAGCATGTAATTAACAAACGTGTTTATCTTTGAACATAATTTAAACTGGATTATTGCTAACCCGTACATAATAGATTTCTACTGCTAGGTTAATCCTAACCCTAACCCTAGCAGTAGTAATTAAATGTTAGCATTTCCAGTAGCTTACCACTGAATATGTTAATGAAAAACATCAAATTTTAAAGTCCATGTAAAGTCCAGTAAATGGAAAGTCCATGGATGCAAATTTACAGTGTGATGAAGATTTGTCTCTTTTCTATCAGAAGCTAATGCAGGAAATTAGGGTAGAAGACTGTTTTTATGTTCAGCCTGCGTGTTAAACTCTGGGTTATCCATCAACAAGTGAAAAACGGCTTCCCTGTGAACTTACTTTTTAAAGGGCTTGTTCACTGAGAAACCATGTAAAACTGGGATCAGTCACTCTGAGTAAAGTTAAGGTCCCATAGTGATCATCACACACTGGTGAAATCTCCACATTTGACACACCCCTGTGGTGGCACTCAGGAACTATTTGGTGGTTTTACCCCCCAATCCAAACCCCAATGCTGAGTGTCAAACGGTGAATCACTGGGTCCCATTTTTAAAGTCTTTAGTATTTCCCGAACGGGATTTTACCCCTGATCTCCCATTCCCAGGGCAGAGACTCAACCACTAAGCCACTGAGTAAGATAAGCTATGTTCAATACTACATTTTCTTCAGCTTCCATCTGCTATGCCTCAGCGAAAAGTTGCATTCATGAACTCGCTCGCCTTGCCTCACGACCGGGGAAGACCGTGCCGATTTAGCGGCCAAGACGGAGCAGAGCGCGACTTGGCTACTAGATGCTAACCATTAGCATGAGCAACTCTAAAACATGGTGGAATGGAGTCAGGCTTGTGTTAGTTGTGGACATAAAACATCAACATTACATGTTTTACCCAAGAAAGAAGAGCAAACAGAGGCAGTGGAAGTGTTGCGCTGCTGTTAGCCCAATCTGTTTATTCTTAGCTGTCTTAGGTGCATAATGAATATTAATGACTAAGACTCTTAATTATTTAGTTTTCCATTCACTCCTCCAACAAACTTTTACCATTTGAAACAGGAGTGCCTGAGCAGTTTTCCATAAAAACGGACTCACAAGACATTTATTTATACTAGAGCCCACTGCACATTTATTGGACAAACAATTAAATGAGACCTTTAATGTAATTTGTACTTTACTCAGAAATCTACTGATATTACACAAGCGAGTAAATGTCAATAGTTTTACTTTACAGTGCCACCATTAAATATGATTGATATTTTTTTAATTAACATGTTTTCAGCTATTCAATAAAATCAGAACTTCCTGGGTAATATTTCATATACTGAGTGCTAAAAAGTTAAAACTAGCTTTTAACTTGACCTTCTGGTTACTGCAATTTCATTACAATTGGAAAGTACATGTTCAAGGGTTCCTATCTGTGGAACATTACTGGATTGGTAAACATCACCTCATTCCTTAATGGGACATTTAACTGTCTCCAGTACATGTTACAGATCACAGTAAATATGAGTTTAAACAATAAAGGACAAATATTTTTATTCAAATTACCACAGATTGGAAACTGAAAATATATTATATTATATTGTTAATGTTTTTTCTCTGTTTCTTGCAGATTTCTGGAAGGATTTTGGGAGACATGGTGCTGACTATGAAGGTGATTAGCTGCTTTGTGCGCTCCAAGGGCTCGTGCCCTGTAGTGAAAGAGCTGCCCTTCATTCCAGAGCCCTGCTCTGTGGACTCCTGTCACAACAGCACTCGACTCAGCTTCTCCTTAGATCCGCTTCAAGAGCTGACATCCACCAAGTGGGATTTGGAGTGTTCCGTCAAACTTTGCCACAACGAGGTAGGAATTGATCCAGCACTTTTCATGTAGCTCTCGAAATACACTGAATGTTTAGTTAATGTAATGGATTTACATTGTCAGGAAAGACAGTTCTGGAGACATTTGAATAGTGAAACAACCAAATGCAGGCTTAAAGTGCTGATTCAGTTTTGATTAAAGGATATTTACATTTAAATTGGAGGAAGTGTTTGGAAGTTATAGCTGTAATACCCAGAACAATATTTTTTATTGTCCTCAAACATGATTAGATAAATTACCATAATGGTAAATAAAATGTTCAGGTTTTAGATTTTGTTAACCTCTGACTACGTTTACATGCAGCCAATATCCGGGTTATGATCGGGTTAAGGTCGGTATTCGGGTTTCTGAGTTGATCAGAATAACCCGTTTACAAGCATAAATAGAAAGAGTTACCCCTAACTTGCATAACCCGATTTAAATGCTGACGTTGGGGTAGCGTCAAGACGTATGGACTACGTCCAGATGCAATACGCCTCATTTCCGGTTCTTCTTGTTCCGGTATCCGTGAACAACAACATGTTTCCCAGTTCGGAAGAGATAGCGACCACGTTTGTTTGTGCTTTAGTTTCTTCGTCACTCCAAAAGTGTGGTGCTGTGCCGTGACTCGCCATTTTGCTCCCAACTTGTTGTTTACTTCCGGTGTTCTGGCGCATACAAGATGTCTCGCTACTCAAAAGACCAAGATTCCTTGCGAACAGAGCATGCGCAGAACACACGCTTTGATGGGGATATCCCGATATGCGTTTACACGACCAAACATTCAGGTTAGAAAAGGGTTACCCCAGGTGTAGTAACCGGGTTTTTAAAAGCCCGGTTAGGAGCATATCTGGGTTTTTGGTGGTGTTTACAAGGACCTGCGTAACCTGGTTATTGTGAATATTCGGGTTTTAAAACGGTTACTGGCTGCATGTAAACGCACTCTATGAGAACCAGTCTAAATGGGAAACTCCATTGTTGTTCTTCACCAGGCCTTAATCCAGTCAGTCATCATTTGTTTTGTGGTTTGTGGCAGCCGAAGCAATGATTTTCCTCTCCGCGCCGGTCTAGCCACGCTCTATAGGAGCTTCAGCAGGCCTACCATTGGCCTGAGCAGTATTGTTTAGTGCCATTCAGAGGGTTTTATCAGTTTGGTGGGTGGGATGATGTGAACGAGCAGAAGAACAAAGATGGTGACGGCTTATCTGCAACTGCTTTGGCATCAACTTTGGACTATTTAGACTTGGGCTTTTCTTTGAGTCAAGAGCAGATAGAGGTACTTAAGTTTATTAAAGAAAAGGATGTATTTGTGTCTTCAACAGTGAATGGTGGACTGCCATCTGTAGCGATGAAGACATCACAGTGTTTGTTATCCAACGGCATGTAGTGATTGTTTGAAAGACAACCGTAGATCCCCCCCCCCCCCCCCCCCCAACACAGTACACATAAATTTATTAAAACAACAACAAAGTTCATATTGATTTAGGAAATCATTCTTGCATTTAGCAACTGATTCAAGCTGGAGTTCTTCCTTCTGTGGAGACAAACAGATGGGACCTTGGGAAAGAAAGTTATTGTTTATCTTTCAGACTTGCAGAGTCTGTGAGTCCAAGCTGGTATGAAGGCAGGCTCATTTAAAGGGAACATATGCAGTGGTGTGTCTCCTTTCTGACCAGATGTTGAATAGATGTTGAAAGGTCAGACTGTACCTAAACTGACCATTGCTGGACGTTACATTCAGAAATATGAGATGAGGAGATGGTTTATGGATCCACTGGTATAACATTTGTGACTCTTCAGCAAATAAAACCACAGTGTTGTTTTTAATAGAGGTTCCGACATAAATGACTTGCCTGTTAACAATAGTGGTGGTTTGCTGGTACCTCCTGCAGGACAGAGCCCCACTGACCTCCTCCACACACATATTCCTCAGGCTCATCATCCATACCCACAACTTCACCAGCACAGAGGCAGATGTGCAGCATAGTGCATGCTGACCTGTAATAGATTAAAAAAAGAGTTTTTTTAATTGAAAAATGTAAAGCAAACTTATAACCTGCAGTACACTGGTTCTGTTCAGTTTAAAGAAAAGCAGCAGGGAATAGTTAAATAAAAACTACAGAGAATTTACATTTTTAAGACAGATCTAATCATTATTAGGCTTAAGTTGAATAAACAAAAGCACATTGAAAACACTTCAATGATATTTTATTAAAAAGCCTGTTTTTTTTATAACGTTTTACCCCCATTTGATGCAAAATAAGTTCTAAGGTCCAATTTACATTAGAAAACATCCTACTGCATTCAACATTTATAATGCATTTGGTTTATTTAAATTACCTACATGATAATACTCTGTAGAAATGTGTTGTATACGTTTAACAAGTTCATTCTGTAGCTTAAAACCTACATGAAACCATCTAAAGTTAACATGTAAGTCCTGAAAGCTTCTAGAATAAACAAAATTACTTTACCTGAAAACGGTTGTGAACAAACGCTGCTGATGGACGTGAAGCTGCTGTAGCTTCTTAATATTCCTGCTCCATTTTCGCTAGCTTTAGCACTTTTCCTTTGCGTGTAGCTGCCGCCACGGCTGTGACGGGACCTACGGGCCACCGTAGAGGTGAAGGCTAGACTGTCCGAATTCAGAGCCGCTGGGTTCCAGTCTTAGCGGTCTAGCAAGGATCCGACCTTGCTAGACCGGCGAGGACCCGTACTCATAAGCATCCTACCCGTGGATTCGGACACACCCAAAGTCACACATGTGATGCCAGAGCATTTTTGAATGAGCAGTGTCAAAACCTAAAACCCTGGTTATTTATGTCCAAAAGCAAATGCAGACAATGTAGAATTCACAAATCTTCACTTTGGTTCCAGGTTTTTTAAAAATCTATTTATAATGCCGTGAATCTACACGTACATATGAATGATAGGACTAATCATAGAAAAATATCTTTGTTTTGAGAGATGCCCGTGCATGTGTAGACAAGGTCTGAGTAGACGGTTAAACTCTCCGTACGGTTTTGAATGCCTCAGTTTCATCATCAGTAGACTTAGCTATGGAAGCCTAGACATGCAAGGTCCCCCTTTGCATAAAGACGATGAGCTGTTCCGTGTCTGTACTTATTTTTTCCCGACATCATGGAAACACTCACTCATTTTCTGAACTGCTTTTCTGAAGTCTGTTCACAGGGAGTTGGTGCTTACTGTCATGTTCTGTGTTCCTTTGTTCCCCAGCCCCTCCAGTTCCCACTCCAGGTTCTCCTTTTGTGTTTCATAGCACCCTCATGTGTCCCTTGTCTGCATCTCATGTATGTGTCTCTTTGTGTTCCTCATTTATCCCCTGGTCTTCATCCTTCCAAATATATCTCTTAGGTCCTGTGTCCCTTTAGTCTTCTCCAGTCATCCCTCTGCAGTGTTTATAGTTTCAGCCTTTCATTTTATTAGTCTCTTTTTTATATGTTTTGTCCCACCAGTCTTTGTAGTTCTCCTTCCCTTTAGAATATTAGTTATGTGGTTGCTTTTCTTGTTTTTAGGTTTTTTCTTAGGTCATGTGAGTTCCCTCCCTGATTAAGTATTGCTTTCACCTGGTCCTCTCCCCACACTCCTGCAGCTCATCTGCCTCCCATCATGCCCCAGTTTATTTAAGCCCTGTCTTGTCTCAGTGTCTTGTCGGTCCATTGTTGTTTGTTGTCAGTGTTGTTTTGGTGCTCTGTGTGAGCTTCCTGTCCTGTCCTGTCCCCAGTTTGTGCTCTAAGTGGGCTTTGGTTCTCATGTTCTGGATTTTTGGATTTTGGCTCCCTGCCTTTTTTTTGGATTTAATTCTGTTCATCCTACAATAAAATGATTTTTTTCTTCATATCCACTCCTGCCTCGTGTCATCCTGGGTTCTGCATTTTGGGTTCTAACATCCTTCCAAAACGTGACACTTACTGGGTTAAAGGGGACACCCTGGACATTCACAGGGACACACAGAGACAAAGAATAGGGACATAGGGTTGAACTTTCATGCATGTTTTTGGACCGTTTAGAGGAAAAGAGAGTACGGCGTTCACATGTGCACGGGGAGATCATGCAATCCTGTCTAGAACAGCTGCAGCTGGGATTCAGACTTGAGCAAACACTAACTTGGTCCAACAGGTTTTAAACTTTGCTTTTCTCCTTTGAAACATAAACAATTCTGTGAATTCTCAAAGTTTCTTCTTTTTAAGCCCGTTGCTAATGTTAGACTTGCTTAATGAGACTTCTGCTTCCCATAGAAAGTTCTTCACTTAGCTGGATTGTGTTAATGAGTTCGTCTTTACCTTAAAAAAACTTGACCACCCCGTAGCTTTCCTTTTGGACATAATTTTTATACACCAAGAGCGTTGGCATTTCTTCATTTCTACTATTTTATCAGACTACCGATTTGACCTCTCTTAATGTTCCCGCTATTTTGCTGATGGATTTGTTTTGTAGCCCAAGGAGGTTCTGAGGGTTTCATCTACAGGATGTTTTAGGCTCGAGGGGGGGAGAACTTTAAAATGCAAATGTAAAACTTTGAATCCGCTCCAGACATTTCATCTGTAAATATGTCTATAAAAATGATTAAAAAAAACAACTTTGATTCAGATTGTGTCTTTCCAAAAAAACAAAAAAAAACAACAAAAAAAAAAAACGAGGATGCTTTCACAGAGGATTAGTGTAAAAATTGCTTTTTAGACTATTGCAAAATAGCTGGACTCTTGAAGAATAAGTGCTGCAACTGTAACATGGTGGGGAAACGACACCGTAGCAGTTTTTCACTTGGAATCCCACTGACTTGGTATGCACAACCATTTGTGAGATGTTTAGCATGTGGTCAGGTCTCATGGGGGCCATTATGTAAATCCAGACAAATAATGACAGTTGTGCAAATAAAAAAGAAAAAAACTGAGTCATGCAAATAAATGACGATTAATTTTTTTGGAAAATTTGGAAACTTTATTTTTTAGTTTGACAATTTATTAAATAATGCTATTTCCCCACTGAGGGACAAATGAAGGTATTTTTATTCTTATTTGTTGCCAACAGGCTCAGCACAGTGAGACTTTGAGGCATATATCAACTTAACTTCTCATTTTGGAACATAATGGTGTTGTTTTGTTGTTTAGTATAAAATTAAATACAAGATTCTATGTATCTTCCTGACAGTTCATTGTCATTCCTGCTCTTTTTAAGTTATTTTATTTGACCTCTTTCTCAGAAATGTGGAGACGGAGGACAGGTGAGGAGGACCCTGGAGGTCACGCAGCCGTGCCGGCAACAACAAAGTGAGTTCAGTTTAAACTCCAAACTGATCCATTTCATTTTCTAAATATTATCTTGAGTTTATATTGGTTTGCTCAATTTCACCAACTCCCTCTTTGATGAAGACGAATGTCTCGTAATAACATTGAATAATAAACTTTTCCGACTCTCAGATTAATAACTGAAACTTTTTAATTACCTCTTGAGCCTTCAGGACTTAATTGCTGGTTTACTGTTTGGTCAAAGAATTGTTGATATATCTGCTATAATTTTCAGTCCTATTATTGCTTACACCAAGTGCCTGCAGAGGCGGTTGTCATAGCAGTGGAGTCAGGATATGCAGTGAAGCCTGTGAGCGGGTGTCGGGGCAGGGCCTGGTTCCTTAGGAAGGTCTGCAGGCTGACCTTGTGGCCACAATCAGACGTGATAGCCCTCAGGGGACAGAGAGGTGAGGTGGGGTGTGTGTGTGTGTGTGTGTGGGAGGGGCTTTGTGTTTCCAAAAGGTCTGACTTTATACTGCTATCCAAACACAGAGAGCTGATGAGCGTTGGGCTATTATGAGATTAATCAACATATGAGTATATATATATGCATAATCAAGCAAAGAAAGATGTCTTAAATAAGAGATAGCTTCCACCTTTGCCTATCAGGAAATTTCAAATATGTGAATAAAAAAAAACACAACTTCAGAAGGTGTAGAATTCTGTTTAAAGTGAAAAAATGTAACAATTTTCACCCACAGCATCTCGCTTATGTATTTTAATGCAAATATGTGACAAAAACCTATCAACCTTGAATGATTTTGTAGAGTGAGACTGGCTGAAATACACAAATTCCTGTCCTAGTTTGGCGCGTCTGTTGGATTTATTGGATAAAAAGGTTACTATAAATAAGCAGGACTAGTAGAAGGTTTTGTCGCACGTCTTTTCTGGGCAGGACTGAGTGCTCCATTCAGCAGTCCTTCCTGTTTGGTGGTTTTCATACTGAGGTCCAGTGAGTCACGGTGCGGGCCTGATGTCTCTGTCTCTCTGTGCTTCTTCCTTCTCCTCTCCACCTGCGCTGGTGAGCTTCTGTTTCCTGCTTCTGTTTGTTCAGCTTTGCTGTCAAAGCCTCACTTATACAAAGTAGCACAGCATCTCACTGGAGAAAAACAAGTCTCCAGAGACAACCCGCTGGAGATGCTGTGATGTTTCCAGCCTTTTCAGGGTCAGGGAATGTTCCTGGCTGTTTGATCAACAATCTAGGTTGACTGTCTGGACTGCAGATGGTAGAAATAACCACAAGATGTCACTGTTTCAGTTCTCTTCTTTGGTTATACCAGGTGTTAGTTTATATTTAATCAGATTTCAAAATAAAGGCTAAGGCTCTTTTTCATTATAATAAAAATGTTAAATAGTAGAGACGTATCTACGCCACCAGACCCTGTGTGGAACATCTTCCTGCAGTGTTGGACACAAACCATTACATCTCTGCTCACTGCTGCTAAATTCCTCACTATTTTAATTCATTTTTCACAAAGGAGTGCTTTCTGTCCTTCGTGTATTTTATGGAGTGTATTTCCCGACAGGTGAGCTGTATTATTCTTTAGAGTCTTTGTGCAATCCTGAGCTTGTTCCACTAGGAGACAGGAAGCAGCAGAGGCAGGTGAGAGAAACTCATGCACAGGTGATGATTAGTTTCTTTAAAACGTTCTGCTTTCATGTGAGAAGATCTCTGCAGGTAGCAGAAGAGGAGAGGGGGGAGAGGAAGAAATCACATTTGCACGCTGTGTCGCTTGACATAAAATACATAAGGACCAGGTTGCATTGCTTCGGTGGACACTCATATGTTTTTTGTTTGTTTAAATTAAACCTTAAAAGATTTCAGTCAGATACAAAGAGTTTCTTTAATTTCCAAACCTTTGAACAGAATAAAAAATGAACACAAAATATACACCAGCAAAGATAAATGTTATTTTATAGTCAGTCTATGGAGTGGCCTCGACTAGCTGCGCTGTGCAAATCAAAGTGTTGAATTTTAGTTTTTGATTATTTTTACCTTGTAGACAGTCACGTTTTTTTCTGTAGCTAACTTTTGTGCCTTTTTGGACATTTGATTTTAGCTGCAGAGCATGTTCTTTTCATCAAGATGTATTTTAGTTTAAATATCAAGTAGATCACAAGTATTGGTGCTGACCAATGTCTGCCTATAGAAAGTAAAGAAAGAAAACAATCTTTTATGTAACCTCTCTCAAGATAAAAAATCTCGAGGCGCTTCGCAAAAACAAAAAATTACAAAAACTAAATGTGTAAAGAAGAGTGTTTGACATCACTATAATAAGCTGTAGCAGTGCGTGTGATAAATGGATTTTCATCACCAATGCTTTCACTGCAAAAACTGATTTTCAGGAACGTAAATTCTCATAAATGTGATCCAGACTTTCTGCTTTTGAGTTAAAAAAAATCAGCTTCTTCTCCTCTTCCTCCTCCTCTGGGTTGGGACGTTTGGCTAGCAGAGGTTTTTGCCCAGATTGTTCCATATTTGCAACAAGTGACATCTGCAGTGCTTTGGTAGTTCTGAGTTTGCTCTTTATTCTCAATAGAATGGGACATGTTGGTTTGCTTTTTGGCGTCTTTTAGCCAACACCTTCCACGGGTCTGTCAGTAATCAGCCTTTAGTGTGGCGCACGAGACCAGATTGGGTTATAAAGCTTTTTCTCCCTCTATAATATATTTGTTTTCACTTGGATCACCGCTGTTGGACCCAGGAGCTTCATTTGCTATTTTGGAAAGAAAATGCAATTAGGAACTGGTGTTGCTGAGAGTCTCCTGGTCAATAACAAAATAAAAGAAAAAGATACATAAAAGATAAAATATAAAATGCGGATAAGGAAGCATAGAGACCTGTGTACATTTAAGTTATTATAGACAGTAGTTTGCTGATCTCAGTCACTGAAGTGTGACGTAAAAGCAAAAACATGAAATCTGAAAGGGGGTAAATACTTTTGCCTTGTGCTGAAAATTATGGCAAATTTTTGAACAATTCTAAGATGAAACTTTCTTCAAAATTTACTGGTAATTAATTTTTCTTCAGTGTTTTAATTAATCTTTTACTTGTTCTAAGTAAATCAGTCAATTAAAAAATAAATCAAAGTTCTTCCCACACTAGCTGTAATTCATTATATTTTTTTATCCAAGCATACTTTTGCTCACCGCAGCACGAACGTTCCTTGTAAACATTGCCAGTTCAGGTTTGTTTAGCAGTTCATTACCAAACTTTGAGTGCTAAATATAAAACGATTCATCAGAGATGATTTGAGTCTTTAACCTCACCTGCTGGCGTAGACTCCAACTCCTGCATGACGTGATTATATTAGTAACTGAAATCGAATGCGACTTGACTTCTTTTCTGATTCCGAAGACATTCTGCAAGAATAAAAGAAATGTCTTTATTTCACCAGTATTTTTGAGTTTATCTAAGTTCCTGCTATTTAGGATGATGGATGGTAAAGTGTTCATAGTTTAAGTAAAATTTTACCATTAATGTACTTTCATTAAGCATCAACATTGTGGTCAGCTGGAATTTGTTTGTTTACTTTAATTAGAAAGTCAACTTTCACAAAAATTCCAACAGTAAAGTTTAGAAAATGAAAGAAACAAGTGAAATTACTTTTTTGTCCTTTTAACTGCCATGTCCTCATGTGTTCTGATTGCCCCTTTAGTTATATGATTATAGGAGGTTAATTTCTGATGAGATGTCATTGATTAACTTTTAGGAAATCTGAACTTTGCTGAAAAAATAATATTTTTAACCTAATTTAATCTTTGGTGCTTGTAGAACCTGCACCATTTCATTTAAATTGACCTTTTTGGAAGCTCGGGGTTGAAGCTAATTTTGATAAAGAAACTTAAAATATGGTTTCTTAATTGTTTGTCTCTAGACCAGAGACTAATAAGGCACATATTTTAGGCCCTGCATTAGTATAATTATTTTTTAAATCCTTATTACTTAATAATTATAGCTACAAGAATAACATATTTACCCGTTTAAATTTAAAGGGAACATGCTGTCTACGGTGGACTGGCACTCTGTCCAGGTGGTACCCCGCCTGATTGCCCATTGACCACTAGAGATAGGTACCAGCCACTGACCCCCCCCCACACACACACACACCCGCGTGACCCTACATGGACATGCGGGTTCAGACAATGGATGGATCACAAACAGGGAAAGTAGAAAATAAATAAACCACACACCTCTCAAGTCAGAGAGAGTTGCTGCTGGAAGAGCACCATCTCTACTCCGAGTCCCTCAGAGCTTCTCAGCCTATAGCAGCCTGAAGGGAAGAGGTGTGCACGGCCAGCTCCAGCTTGTTTTCTTAAAGTGACAAACCGTAGAAACAGCTCATTCTGGAATGTACTGAAACTGGCAAGAATTAAACCACTGAGATTGCTTTATGTGAGAGGAATTTTGTGCAAAGAACTTCAAAAAGACCTTTTATATCGACCATTTGGCTGTTGTAACTTAATAAAAGAAGTCATAACATTGACTATTAGGTATGTTTGTTGTTGATTTAACTGAATCTTGGATGCTTTGTTCTCCGTATCTACGTTTCAGACTCTCCATGCATTGATTTTGGCCTGTCTGCTGTTCTGGGAATTGCTTTTGGAGGCTTCCTGATTGGAGTATTACTTATTGGAGCACTGTGGTTTATCAAGATTAAGACAGGTACACACATGACCGAGAACCGAGTGTTCCTCTCAAGCTGACTAATGTTTGGATTTGTGATGATCTCATTCTGTTTTACCTCAGGGTACCCAGCTGGACTGGACATGAGGTCAACTGCAGCTGGTCTTCCTGGTGAGAAATCGAACTCTTCTTCTTAATCTCGTTTTGATCTTTTTTTTTTTCACTCTGCTAGCTTCTTATTGGCTCATATTTTCTTCCTTCAGGATGTCCCTGTTCAACATCGAAGCGACAACCGGTCTCTACCAACACGTCTCCCTCTGAGAACAGCAGCGCAAACGCCAGCATTGGAAGCACCCAAAGCACACCGACCAGCAGCATGGCATGAGATTAGTTTCTTGTTCCAGCGGGGCCACCACCTCCCTTCAAAGTCACCTATATGGATCTGTGTCTCCCTCCGCTCCCTACTCCCTTTTAAATTCTTGTTTGAAAAGCACAAATGATGTCTTTGACATAACACATCTGAAATGGATGTGATCTGGGAGTTTGTTGGTGTAGATGGGAAGGGCTGTTTGATGAGTAACCAAAGTCTTTTTTCATTAGCTTCAGAAGTTCACCTTTGCTGCCTCTCTGTAAAGTCAAACTTTTAGACAGGAAGTTTAAGAGGCCAAGAAGAAAAAAAACCTGGCTCCAAGAAACAGGAAAAACAAACCATATCCCCCAAGAGCTAACAGGAAATTCACCACATTCCATTTAATGAATTGTGCTCGTGTGATGGGAGCAAAATAATAGTCATACAGGAGACAAACCGGTCCAACTTCGAAAAAACAGATGAGAAGCTGTTTTGCGAACATCAAAGACACAAAAACACGAAAGCTCTGTTTTCCCAAGTCAGTCTCCCAAACTCAAGAACAACATTTTTAAAGACAGAAGACTTCAAACCAGGCAGTGAAGCACTCACTTTCATGATGTTTGTTTTAATTGGAGTCCAAGGATAATGGTTTGCAGCTACCTCTTATTGTTTAGAAGTCTGGAGCTAAACAGAAGATTAAAAATAAGATTTCTCTAGTCATGCTATTATTTCTTCTTCTCTAGATTTCGCTAAATCTTTCTCGCTTGACCTTAAAGTGACCTTGTGGGTCATGGTCAGTGCAAATAAAATGATGGAGCCATTTTCATGCTATGTGTTATAATGCGATGACTAATCTAAACTATTTGAAACAAATAACCGTTCAGGAGAAAAAAGAAATAAAAGTCCCCAGAATGTGTCACCTTTGTCATGAACAATACCACTTTATGAGATTACTGTATTCAGAGCTGAGTAATATTTCCCACATGATGTATCAAACTGAATTACTAGAGATCAGACTCCTATATCCATCATTATGTTCCACTCATTCAGTTTTGTCCTGAGGGTGGAGTTTCCCTAAAATAGTCTAAAGGTTGAATTCCTGTACTTTTCCTCTGCACAGTGATCTTACTCACCAGTGACAAGAACTATTAGCTCCAAGGACATGAAATTGTCCTTTTAATTTTACATTCATGTTTTCAGGCTTTATTATTCATCAAATTTGAATGTAAAAAGTGGAACTCTTCACACTTTACAGTTGCGATTTAGCATGGATTTAAACAGCAGCTTCACTGAGAAACCATTATTTATTTATTAGTTTAGAAAATGATCAGCCACTCTGAGTTTTTCATGCAGGCTGAACATGAAAATAGTCTCCTACACCCATTAGCTTTTTATAGAAAAAAGAGCGAAAAGTGCTTGGTTCAGAAAACCCTGACAGATCTACGTCACACTGTCACTTAACATTCATGGACTCACCCATCACTCACGCCAGGAAGGGCTGTTGTTGGTTTACGTCTCAGCTAGTAGAAGCTAACCATTAGCATTAGCAACTCCACCACATAGCAGAACTCCTTCAGGCTTGTGTTATTTGTGGAGATGAAACATCAACATTGCAGAACAAATGAAGAGTCACACTGCTGTTGGCCTATCAGAGACAAGTTGTCCAAATATCAGGAAATAAGTCTCTTTTTGTTTTCTCCTTGTCCTGTTCGCTGTAAAACAATCAGAATTGATGTGCGAGTGCTGAAGACAAGCCTTACAGTTTTACTCTCACAGGTGGAGCACTGCAGCTTCTGCTATAATGCCTCACCTGACACAAAAACTTTATTAGAAATATGTTCAGTTTTAAATCCCAACGAACACAGACAGATACGAAAGAGAAAGGGAGGAGAAGAAAGGAAAAGGTGGGGAAAGAACAAAAATTTCACAAAAATAAACAATAAAGGATGTAGAAAAATCTGCTTCTAGACCTGCAGAAAAAGAGAGAGAAAAAAAGGGAGGGACACACAAAAAGACAACAGAGATGAACAAAAACACAACAGAACCAAAATATCACTGCGCTAGCATGTGAGGATATATAACAGGAACAATTTTTGCTGAAAAGTACACGGTAAAAAATTCACAGTGCATTTAGTGCCGGCCACAGCCCTAGGTTATGTGTTCAAAATGCCCACTTTCTCCTCCAGCAGACTTCTATATCCTCAAACAGGGGCATGGGTTTTAATTCCCCTGAGTAGGAGTTACAATTCCTCCTGGAGACCACTGCAAATGTTTAAAAAATGTGAGTAAAATTGACCTTCAAAGATCTGATACTTAAATTCTGCCTCCTTGTTTTACCTAACCTCTAATTAGAGATTAACAGGGAAAGATTTACTCATTTAATGGATTGATTTTATTTTATTTTTTTATCAATCAACAGAGCATTTATTTTACAGCTCTGAAAATGAAAAAAAAATCTAGTTACATTTTGGACTTCGGCCTATCTGAAACTCCTATAATTTTGTTCTTCAGAGGAAAGAGGAATGCTGAGGAAAACCTCTTTTTTTTCCCCCAATTATAACTCACCTCAATGAAAATGTTCTAACGTGAAGACAGGCTTTTGGAATTTAGAGTTTGCAAAGGGTCTTGGCATAAATGAATTAGCAATATCAGCATAGTTATTTAAAGCCTAAAGCTTTCTGTTAGCACACACAGAAATGTACAAATTATTTCTATTAACCATGTTTTTTTAAATATTAGATTAATACACAACACTTCACATGAGTGCTAACCTAAACCCTGTTACACCTTTTAAATTAAAATATTTTAATCAGCTCTGAATACAACGATTTGAGCTCTATAGAACAATAAATTCCTCTTTTGCCTTAAATACTTTGTAGCTCAAATGTTCTTTAGCCTCTTTGTAAACCTTTATAAAACTTAAGTACATTTACCTTAATATAACAAAAGTATGATCTTTGAAAATGTTTTAAATGAACTTACCATCTAAAATCCACAATGCTGATGTCAATAGTTCTATTGAACGATAACCCGACACAAAGTTTCCAGTTTCAATAATTAAAAAAAATGTATTTATTTATTCAGCTTCAATAATATCCTCCAACATGCATCAAACCAACTACATGTTTTCTGTCTTTTCATTCTATGAGATATGTAACTAACTCCTTACGTGCATGTGCTTTTAGGCGTTTTTATTTGACTTTATTTTTGGTTGAGACAGAACAGAGGGCCAGTACAAATTGCCGCTTGAGAATTTGTGCAATACAATGAGGCGAACTTGTATGTAATGTCTATATTGTGTAAGTGTTGTATGATAATCTTACTCTGAATTATTTCATAACCTGATTTGTTCTTTGTTGTATTTAAAGAACTGGGACAATTCCTAATCAAGGCACATGATTGGTTTTGTATGTTTTATATATCTTGTAGTGTTGAGTTTAAACTCTGTTTCATCCCATGTCACATTTTTCTGATGTATTCAGTTCATTGGTCTCTGTTTGACTTTTGCCCATTAATTACCCCAAAGTCTGACAAAATCCCATAAAACACACCACACCGGTGGTGTTGTACATCCCGTGATTGTATTGTGTTCATTGTTATCTTCAGTGGGTGTGATGGCCCATTCTTCTGTCTGAAGACAGGATGTTTCATCACTAGAGCAGCATCTCGGATAAAAATTCAGCACTCTGTTATCAATATCCCACCCATCCTTGTTTGCTGTATTGACATGAACTTTTTTCCGATGTCAGGCATTCTGTGGGCTGCCTGGGTTAAAGCAATAACTGTCTGAATGCTGAAATCAGGCAGAGGCACAGTTAATCTAGTGTTATCTCTGTGCTGAAGTAGGCAGACTTTCGCCACTCAAATTGGGTTCATTAGTTGAGGGGGAAAAAAACTCAAGTGATGCAATGTTTCTATTTTTCCTAAAATCAAATAATAAATGTAATAAATACATTTGAGAGACATTTCTGGTTTTATGTGTGTGTCAGTTTCCATGTGAGGTTGTAGCAGAACATTCCAGGAACTTGAAGATCTCTACGGGACGATATCAAAGAATGATGCTGAGGAGTGAAGAGCTGTTCATACAGCAGTAACGTTTCTAAAAAACCATTATGTTCATAGATAGTAAATGTGAATGATGTCGAATATTTAACCTGTGTGTTTCTGAGAGCTTAAATAAATATTCAATAAGCAAATGTCATGAAAACTGCAGGGCTGGGCCTTGTTTGGTGTTGCAGCACATTCTCAAAACTGATGATTGGTGACCAAGTGTTTGTTTCCGACGCGTCCGGAGGTGCCGCGCGGTGCCAGAGCGTCAGTTTCCGAACGCACATTTCACCGACATTTAACCTCTAACCTCTTTAATCTTCCCCTCCCCATCCTTAACCCAGTTTATTCTTCTAAACTTCTTGTTAAATGTGTTTGAGAAGGACGATACAACTAGAAACAAAGTTTTGCATGCGCAAGTAGAATAGGGGTGAGTGGAAGGTTAAATAGCAAGAGGGTAGAGGTCACTTCAGTGAAATCTCCATTTTACGGGGGGGGGGGGGGGGGGGGGGTCGGAAAACTACGCTCTGGCAAAGCGCATAACCTCCCGCTGCATTGGGGCTCCCAACGCATTGGAAACAAATACTTTGTCACCCATCGTCACTTTTAGCTGCTTCGGGGGATGAGAACGTGTTTTTAAAGGTCAGATTCAACAAGGTATTGGAGATATTCTTCAGAGGTTCCAGATTAAAGGGACACTAGGCAGTTTCGCTTGCTTTGAGCATATCATAGTGTCCATTATTAATTCTCTGTGGTCAAAGGGGAACTAGGAAGCTTTGGCATGCTTTTAGCACTCCCCTAGTGTCTGTTTGTAGAACCGAAAGCAAAACCTGTCTCCTTGCTGTGCGTTTGCCTCTTTGACACCTTTATCAAACTGCTGAAATATCCCCTCAGCCTTCATTAGTGTCTACAGGAATGATTCATCACTAAATTAAACAAATCAGCTGTGTTCACAATCTAAAAGTGCAGGAAACATGTTGGAAGGAGCCTCCAGCTCCACTGTGCTCTACTCCGCAACTTCCTGCATCGAACAGCCCACCAACTCTGAAGTTGCAAGTCCGGTACTCTGGCCACAGGTGGCGGTGGGGTCTGAGTGACATCTCATTAACCATGTAAAGGGTCATTTTATCACACTCAAGAAAATCATTAAAAAATATGGAAAAGTATCCCTTCATTGACAGCATCACACAGTTGCTGCACATCCGTTATGTAAATCGCCACATTCAAAAGTTTCTGGATTGTCTGAGTCCAGTCGTCATGTTCAAGAAACCGGTGTGAAATTATTTTTGCTTTGTGATATGGTGCATTATCCTGCTGGAAGTGTCCATTAGAAGATGGAACTACTGTGGTCATAAAGGGTCAGCATGAAATACTCAGGTAGGCTGTGGTGTTTAAACTGGGCTCAGTTGGTGCAGAGATGCACAAGATGGGCAAAGAAAGTCTGCAGCACTGTTACACCACCAGCAGCCTGAACTGTTGGGCCATGGCAGAGTGGATCCATGCTTTCATGTGGACACCAGATTCTGACTCGAGCATCTGAACGTTGGAGCTGAAGTCGAAACTCATCAGACCAGGGAACATTTTGCATTGTAGCATCAGTTTCTTATTTGTAGCTGACTAGAGTGAAATCTGGTGTTCTTTTCTTCTCATGTGGTCCATCTACTTCAAGATTCAATGAGTTATGGTTCATTGACACTCTGCAGATCACAGTTGTAACAAGTGGTTATTTTAGCGATTTTTTATCATTTAAACCAGGATGACTATTCTCCTCTGACATCCACAAGGCCTTTTAATCAACACAATGATGCTCACTGGATGTTTTCTCTTCTATGGAGCATTCTCAGTTAACCCTAGAGATGGTTGTGGGTGAAACACCCAATAGATCAGCAGTTTCTGAAATACTCAGACCAGCCAAACTGGCACCAACAACAATGCCTCATTCAAAGTCACTTAAATTACTTCTCTATCTGAATCTTGGTTCTTGGTCAGTGAGTTGTCGAGGTATACCTAAATGTACCGAGTTGCTATCTAAAGGTTCCATGTGTATTTTTTTAATAATAAAGAGCAATTGAGCAGGTGTATCTTATAAAGTGGTCAGTTTGTGTGTGCATTTGGTACACAGCAGAAGCATCATCCAAGCTTAAAGAGATCCTTCACTGAGCAACCATTTAAACTTATTTTTTAAGTCTCTCTGAGTTTGTCATTTAGGCTCAACGTCAAAATTGTCTTCTCCACCTATCTCCTGCTTTAGGTTCTGATAGAAAACAGACGGTGAAACTCTATGATTTAAAAGCCTGACAGATCTACATCAAGCTGTTACTTAAAGTTCATGGACTCACCCATCTTGACTCACAACAGGGAAGGCTGATATTGGTTAAGCATCCAGAAAACAGTGGAGAAAGTCTAGAAGCTAATCGTTAGCATTAGCATCTCACAGAGCAGAACTACTCCAGGCTTGTGTTATTTGTGGAGATAAAACATCAACGTTGCAGAGCAAACAGAGTCAGTGGTTGAGTCACGTTATCCAATCAAGAGGCAAGATGTCAGAAAATAAGACTCCAAATCCTGCCGTCTGACGCTACTTTCTCCTCTGGCTGAATTCTCTGCACCGATAGGAGCATCGGAGTGTTTTTTCCCCAGAGTACGACTTACAGAGCATTCATTCCTACTGTAGACCACTGATCACCATTAACCACAATAGACCAATGTATTAAAAATATGAGTGAAGGACCTCGATAATAACTTTAACAAGATTTTCTTTATATCTTTCAACTTTAAGAATAAAATCAGTACACTCAAATCCATTTGTTTGTTTCTTTAATGTGATTAAACAGTTTTTAAGTACTTGAAATACCTTCATACATTGTTTTCTGTTTTAAAGAGATCTGTTTACAGCTGAGCAGAATTTTTCAGGTGTAAATCATTTCATATCACATAAAAGGCAAAAGCAGAGAAATGTAATAGCATTATTCTTCACTCATCGGTGTTATGTGTCAACTTTTGTGCAGCAGAGGCATAACATTGTGTTAGACTGAAATACTGACAGGGAGGGACCCACACATATTGCACCCAGGTGTCTGAATAAACAGAAGGTAATCTGTTTTTCTGGTTTAAGACTTTAGTCTCATAACTGTCCTGAAACAAAACGAGTCCTCTAATGCTGTCGTGTATAACTTTTATTGTTGGGTTAAAATAATACAAATGTTGGTGTTTTTCTAGCATTGTGGCCTTTCCTGTGTTTCATATCTTTCCTCGTTTTTTATTTATTTATTTATTTTTTTTACTAATTCAATCAGTGTTTTAAGGAATGGAGTCAAATAAAACCACAGAACCACTCAGCGATGCGCAGCAGACATTGTGTTTGTGCATTTGTTTATATCCGAGTACAAATCCGTTCTTGTCTGCAAAACTATGCCTTGTGAAGAGTGTTATTTAGAAAATGCATAAGGGATACAACAATGGCTCCAGGGCAAAACCAATCGCAACAGCTTTTTTTTGGTAACATAACGGTGTGTGTGTGTGTGTGTGTGAGAGAGTGTAGGAGGTAAAGGCTTCTTGAAACCTTTGTGTTTATATGTAAATACAGAAACATACATCAGTGTAGCTCTGAGCTGGAAGTTCTGACAGTATATTTTCCAAAGATGTGAAAAATACATTCTTATCTAGAAGCTGCTTTCTGTTTACATCAGAGTGTGGTGCAAGGGCAATGTAAAGTGTGTATGTATGTGGGTGGGTGGATGGGTGTGTGTGCATTAAAAAAAATAAAAGTGTCTCGTTACTCAGGTGAAGTTAATTTCACAATATGCTGTGGAAAAGAGTTCTTAACTGTCATGCATGTGCATAACAGTATTTTGTTGGCAGCACAGATTCTACAAAGTGGAATAAAAACAATATTAAAATGTAAATAATATCCACAGTAATTGCATATTAATTGTATACACAGGAGGTGTTTGCAGCCTTGTGATTTTTATCTTGAGAGACGTGATTTAAAAGAAGCGTTTCTTCTTAAATATAAAGACAATAGTAACATTGCCCACTGTCACGGTCTGCGTCCTGCGTCTCCCTCATGTGCCTCCTTGTGTTCCCCAGCCCACTCCAGGTTTTTTCCCTTAGGTGTTACCCATAGGTTTCAGTGTCCCTGTGTTTCCCCAGCCCCCTCCAGGCTCTCTCTAGTTTTCCCTCACGTTTTCCCTTAGTTACCTTTTATCATTAGTCTTCTGTTAGTGTTTATCTAGTCAGTATTCTCCCTGTAGTTCATTTTGCTCCCTTCCCCATTTTTAGGTCTAGTTTCCTCCCCTGCTCCGTTGTGCTCCTCCTCTGTTTATTGGTCTCACCTGAGCCCAATTCCCTAATTACCCAGCCCTCGTGTATATAACCCTGTCTGTGTCTCACTGCATTGTTGGTCCATTGTTCCTTGTCAACGTTCCCCTCCCCTCCCCTCCACATACATTTTTCATGAGCATTTTTTAACTCAGAAGTACCCCTGAAGTACTTAGTTGTTTGCCCTTTTATTAAAACTTATTTTGAGCCTGAGGGTTAAATCTGAAGTGTAAAAACTTAATTTTTATGCTACATCTTGCAGACAATACACAGAAATCCAATGAAGTTTTTTTTTACCCTAGCAACACTAAACAGGATGCATTTAAAGAATCATTCATTAAAGCAACAAGACGGGAAATAAACAATTTCACGTTGCAATTAGAAGTATGGAACAACAAAATCCTACAGATAACTTTTGGATAGTAGATTAATTTAGTGCACCAGCAGGGGGTGCAATGTTTAAACACTTTTTTATTTATTTAAATGTTGGGTTACATATGCTGTAATGCTTATTTGCAACATAAAACAAGGAACCTTTACTTACACAATAAATGTGTACTCATGCAACTTAGAAAACACAAGTTAGTGTTCAAACTTT